TATCTATCTATCTATCTATCTATCTATCTATCTATCTATCTATCTATCTATCTATCTATCTATCTATCAATCATAATTCTATTTATCTTATTCTAACCATTAATCTTTCATTCTATTATCCCCTCTCTCTCTCTTTCTTTCTTTCTGTCTCTCTCTCTTATTTAAACTACATTTGTATATCAGGGATGGCAAGTGACTAACATTAGAGGCCAGGATGCTAAATAAATAAATGTAATCATTGGGGGGTGGGGTGGCCCTAGGCTGCCTTCCTGGCAGTTCCTCCCCCCCACCCCTCTTTCCTCTCCCCCTCCCCCCCAGTCTGAGAAAAGGGGAGGGGGCTTCTCTTGAAACACCCCTTGGTCTCTTCTCCATCCTTGCAGTCCCGCCCCCCCCTCCCCCTCTTAAATTAACCCCTTTCTGCCGTGGGCTCTTAGTTAGGGGTCCGTGGGGATGGAGGTCAAGACCCTTCTTTGCGTGTGTGTGTGTGTGTGTGTGTGTGTTTGTTTGCATGTGTTGGGAGGAGTGCCTGTTTGTCTAATTAATAAATAAATTAAAAAAAAAAAAGACCGAAGGAGCAGGCATGGAGGATGGCCGGTGTTTCTGTCCCTTCCCTGGCTTCTTTATATCCCCCTCCCCTCCATTTGACTCTTCCCCCTCCTTTGGTGGGGGGGGGGAGAGGGATTTGGCTTGTGTGTGTGTGTGCGTGCGTGTGTGTGTGTCCTCTAATGGCCCCTTTGCTCTTTTGTCTACCCAGAAAGTCCCGCTCGTTACAGCAATAAGGAGTTAAAAGGAATGCTGGTTTGGTCCCCCAACCACTGTGTTTCGGACGCTAAATGTGAGTGGGGGGAAAAAAGTGGGGGGGGGAAAGAGCAGGAAGATCAATGGCCTCTTCCTTATTATGACCCTCCCTCCTCCAGTCTCTCCCCCCGCAACCAGAGCCTTATTCCTCCAAGCTATTTTGATCTTTGCATGAATTGACAGTTGTTGGAGGGATTTTTTCCCCCCCTTCCCTCTCTCCGTCTCTCTCTCTTCCCTTCTGCTTGGAGCCCCCCCCCTCCCTCCCTCCCCACTTCCAGAAGCCACCTTGCCCTAGGTTTTCTAGTGGGGGTGGGGGTTGGGATTTCATCTATTCCACCCTCGGCTGGTCGCACAGTCTTTGATTGGCAGGCCTGCCTCCTCCCCTCCCTCTCTCCAAAAGCAATTATTATGCCGTTCATGTGCTCCCAGTTTAAAAAATCTCTGGCTGATACAGGAAGCTGGGGGGGGGGAGGGCTTGGCAGCAGGAGAGGCAGTCCAGCCTTTGCTGAATTGGTGGGGTGGGGTGTCAGTGTTGGGGTTTGGTGGTCCCAAGGGGTGTTTTGGGGGAGCTCCCGGGAGACGTGTTGGGCCTTGGAGAGCCAGCAGAGAGATGGGAGGAGCAGAAGGGCTGCAGCTGAAATATTTTGCAGCATTTTGCAGAGTTTTTTTTTTTCAGGTGGGAATGAGGGAGGGGTCCAATGCAGCAGGTCCTCGGTTTACAACCATTCATTTAGCGACTGCCCGGAGTTATGATGGCATGGAAAAACGTGACTTACGGCTGTTTTTTTCCCCCACACTTGCGGTATCTCGGATCACAATTCACACTCTTGGCACTGAACTGACTCGTATTTATGACAGTCCCAGGGTTACGCAATTCCCTTTCTGACAATAGCCGTCGGCTATTATAGAGGTAGCCCTCGGCTTACGGCCAGGATGGAGCCCAACGTTTATGTCGCTAAGTGAGTTTTGCCCCATTTTACGGCTTTTCTTGCCACACGGTTGTTAAGCGAATCGCCACAGTTGATAAGTTAGTAACCCGACTGTTAAGCGAATCTGACTCCCCCCCTTGGCTTGGGTTAAGGTCGCAAAAGGGGATCATGTGACCTTGGGACCCAGCAACGGTCGTAAGTATGAACCGGTGGCGAAGCATCTAAGTTTTGGTCACACAATCGTGGGGATGCTACTGCGAGAGACCGTCGTAAGTTGTTTTTTTCAGTGACGTCGTAACTTTGAACGGTCGCTAAAGGAACTGCTGTAAGTCGAGGACTAACTGTATACCGCTTTAAAATATTTTAACGCCCCCTCTGAGCAGCTCACAGAAGCAGCATGTTGCCAAAAAACTTGGTCCCTTTACAAGGGCACTGAAAAAAAGTGACTAAAAATGTCATTAAACAAACGTCGTAAATCAAGGACAACCTGTCTTATTTATTCTGGCTATTGCTCTGCCCCCTCCCCCCTCCAGTCTGACTGCTCTCTTTCTCCCCCTAGTGGACAAATACATCGCCATGGCCAAGGAAAAGCACGGCTACAACATTGAACAGGTAAACAAAGAAATAGCATTATAAAAGCCCAGTCAAACATCCTAGTTTTGGGGCCCATCTTATCCTTTTCAAGTTCAGCTTCCCCACAGGGACTAAAACTTATTTTTAAAGGGACTCTCACCTCTTCAGGCTTGGGAGTAACAGATTTTTTCCCCCCTCGATCTCTTTTTTTCTTTCCTCCTACCACAAAACAGGCTTTGGGAATGCTACTGTGGCATAAACATGATGTGGAGAAGTCGCTGGCCGATTTAGCCAATTTCACGCCGTTCCCCGATGAATGGACGGTGGAGGACAAAGTCCTGTTCGAACAAGCCTTCAGCTTCCACGGCAAAAGTTTTGCTCGCATCCAGCAGATGGTAAATAAAGGCCCTTTTCGCCTCACCCGGTGGTTTTGGTGCTGCTGTGGTAGGACGGGGTTTAAACCACACTATTCGCTCTTTCTTATCCGCCAGCCAATGAAATTGATTGACATAACTTGACATAATGATAGCCAATGAAGTTGATTGACATGATAGCCAATGAAGTTGATTGAAATAACTTGATATAATGATAGCCAATGAAGTTGATTGACATGATAGCCAATGAAGTTGATTGGAATAACCTGACATAATGATAGCCAATGAGGTTGATTGACATGATAGCCAATGAGGTTGATTGACATAACTTGANAGGAAGGAAGGAAGGAAGGAAGGAAGGAAGGAAGGAAGGAAGGAAGGAAGGAAGGAAAGGGGAGACGGAGTAATGAAGGGGAAGGAAAGGAAGGAAGGAAAAGAAGAAGAAGGAAGGGGGACACAGAGTAATGAAGGGGAGGGAAAGAGAACGAAGGGAAAGGAAGGAGGGAAAGAGGGAGGGAGTAATGAAGGAAAGGGAAGAAGGAAGAAAGGCAGGCAGGAGTAACAAAGAGAAGGGGAGGGAAGGGACAAAAGGGGAGGGAAGGAAGGAGGAAAGAAGGAGATGAAGGGGAGGGGAAGGGCAGGAAGGAGCAACAAAGGGGAGGGAAAGGGAGGGAGGGAAGAAAGGAAGGAAGGGGAAGGAAGAAGAAGGCAGAAGTAACAAAGGGGAGGAAAAGGGAAGGAAGGAAGAGGAAGACGGAGTAATGAAGGGGAAGGAGAAGGAGTAAAGGAAGGGGAAGGGAAGGGAAAGGAAGAGGAAGGGAGGGAGGAGGAAGGAAGGAAGGGAGAAATCCAAAGGACAGCAGCTGGCGGGGGAGGCAGGAATAGGCAGCGGGGATTCAAACTTTAATTGCAGAAGGTCCCTTGGCAAGTTTCTCAGTTATTCTCCTCTTGATCTTTTCTGGGGGGGGGGGAATCCCGAGGGGGCCTCGATTCTCCAGTGACCCAAAATTCTGGCCTGCAGAGCCGGTGTGTCCAGAATGCTAAGACAGCAAGCAAGGACCAAGGAGGAGAAGGGGGATCCAGCCTCAAGGGACCCTTCCCCAACTCACTTTGGGGAGCCCCAGAGCTTTAATTGGGGAGCCCCAGAGCTTTGATTGGGGAGGGGGAGGCGAGAAGTCTCCCCCCCCGCCTCAAAGCGGCCTCTGCTCAGCCCTCTCCCAACTCCCATCAGCAGCAGTTGGCCAAGGAAGCAAAAAAATGAGGAGGGGGGCAGTATCTCCCTTTTTTTCCTTCTCCAAACAAGCCACCTTCCAGGGAGGGGGAGGAGTGGGGGGGGCTGCCCCTGCTGCAGGCCATTCAGGTGAGGCCTTCGGCCATGCTGTGGGCANGCGGCGCTAGGGATTCGAACCACCCAACTGCCGACCTTTTCTGATCGACAAGCTCAGCGTCTTAGCCACCCCAAATATTCTGCCCCAAATCCTTGTGTTGCTGATCCCAGATCACAAATTGTCACTCTCACCTTTTTCTTCCCCTCTGCAAATTCCTGCCAGAAAGAAATTTTTTTTTCCTTCACCCTCTAATTTTTGGAAACTTTTGCTGGAGGGCAGATTTTCAGGCCCCCCCCCCCCCCAGCATAAAACGCTAAAGCTGGTTCAGCCATCCAACCGCTCATTTGCCCGGAGATGCTTTTGATGGGGAGGGAGGGAGGGACGCGGTGCTGACCAGTCGCTCCAGAAACTCCCCCCACCCCATCCACTGGGCAGGAGACCTTACTATGGAGAAGGGGGGGGAATCATCACCCTCTCGCCCCACAGCCAGATGGGAGGGGTGTTCCTTAAAATGGAGGGAGGGGAGGTTGATGCTCACGCAGCTGTGGGAGGGAGGCGTTGATTCTTTGGGGGCGGGGAGGGGAAGACCCCTGCCCCTGCTCTACAGCGCGAGGGGTCCCGCGATGGGGAAGGAGGGAAGGATGGGCCAGTGTCTATTGGTCGACCCCCCTCCCCTGAAAAGGGGGGGGATCTCAAGCAGGGGGAGGGGGCTGCGGCTGGGAAGGACCGGAGCGCGATTTCCACGTGCTCGGGAAGGAGGCGCCCCCCCCAGCTTTGCTAGGGCCCCCCAACTGCAATGGGGCTGCCCCTGCATACACACCCCGGGGACTGTGGTCTGCAAGAAGATGGGGTCCCTCGCCATGACCTTGCCTTGGGGCGCCCCCCCTCCCACTCTAGGCTGGCTGGCGCACATCTGGAGCGCTCTCTCTCTCTCTCCTCCCCCTTTCCTTTTTTTTCTTCCCCTTCCCCTTTCTCTCTTTCCTTCTCTCCCGCGCCGGCGGGCGCGCGCGCGCGCCTTCGCCCCCCCCTCGCGCCTCTGGCCAGATGTGCAGGCAGAAGCCGGCGGAAGGGTCTGGGGGAGGAAGAGGAGGTGCGAAGGCAGGCGGGGGGCTGGATCTACTTTCTCCCAACCAGCGAAGCCAGAGCGGGGCG